TTAAGGATTCAGTAATGATTCAACCACTTATTTTTATTACAAGATTTAAGGATAAAATCATAAAACAATATGAAATTGTGATAATTTTATTTATGTGTAGATTACGATCCACATTCCATTTTCTTACAATAATAAAATTGAAGGTACCTAATGTTATTATTATTATTATATATCATTAAAAAGAATTTTCTACATCACGCTATTATATATTTTTTCTTTTACTGTTAACACATATCACTATTTTTATTTTCATTATTTAAACTTTTATGGTGTTAAGTTTTAATTGATTATCGATTATAAAAGTTTAAAATTTAAAATTAAAGAATTAAATATTTGTTGATAATGTTGAATTATAATATTAATATTAACACTTAAATCATACATCACTACAATGTTCTGTAACATACAATGCACAGTGCTGGGGGATATGTTAAATAATTTGAATTAATTGATAAGTCATGCGTACGATAACCTAATCTCATTAAAAAAGTTCTGTCAACCTATATTTCTAAGGAAGTTTTACCATATACAATGGAATCTTGATAACTAAAATTGATAAATTGATATAAAAAATTGGAGTAATCAAAAACATTTTTTTTTTAAACAACACAAAAGCTTCCTCTTATAATTTTATTTACTTATGTATTTACTAATAAATGTATAACTTATGTATATATATATAGTTTGTATTAAAATGTAAAAGTATAAAGTAATAAATTTGTATACAGTTCGTATATAATAAAGAAAATATATACGATGTAATAAATAATGTAGCACTATTTTTGAATAAAATCATATATTTTTGATTATTTTTTATTGTTTGATATAAGGACCTATATCTATTGTCTTAAATTATGTTTAGCACAGAAAAAATCTCATATAAAATTTCTCGTTGCTCTTGAGTATATTCACGTACAATCTGTAAACCATCTAATGCCTAAGAAAGGGTAATTTTAAACAAAGGTCATTCTTCATCGTTATCGATATCTGTATGTCGAATAAAAATTCGAATTATACGCAACAATTTAACTAAAATTATTTCGAGTTATCGATAAATTCGAATTATTGAGGAAATCTATTACTTATATCAAATATTGTATGGCAGGAGCCAAGACATTCTTTTGAGTTTTCGAAAATTTGACTATTAGAGGTTCGATTTATCGAGGTTCAACTGTAAATACTTGTATTACTATTAAAGTAAATTTTTTTGAAAACTAATTTTGTATAAAATTATCTTTTTTTCCTCTATTATTTCAAAAATGCCTATATATTTTTTTTTTGTTTTCTTTCAGCAAAAAAAAAAAAAAAATAATAATAATAATTATTATATTATTCAATTTTCTACTAAAAACCAACCTCAGAGTTGAAAATTTAAAAAAATAACAGTGTAATTGGTCACTAAGATGATGGAAAAAAAAAAACAAAACACATTTACTATTGCTTTGTCCATGTAGAATTTACCAATATAATATAAAATATATATTTTATGTTTTCCAAAAAAAAAGAAGAGGCATTGAGTAATAAATCAAAATTGTTAGATTAAAAGTAAATTTCTCAATATTTCTTTAAATATAAGCTAAACTAAATGCATTATAATTAAATCGTATATTTAATTTCTAGTATACCTAATCTAAAATATTTAAAATACCAAGTTAGTTTTATTAATTGAAATATCATAAAAATTCAACTACTATTTAAAAAAATCTAAGTAATAAATGAATCTGGTATTTTATTTAAGCATATTACAATATTACATATATGACGTCATGTACCTAATTAACGACATTTTTTATAACTTACGAACAATAATTGTATATTATATTGTTTTCGTATGAACATCAAACTATAGTCGGTAGTTGAATAAAAAAAATATATAATTAATAAAATATTACTAATATTTAAAAACACCGATATTTTTAAGTTTATAATAAAGATTATCTAATAAATAATAATACACTTGATAATATGTTTACACTATAGCATATTTTATGTTAAATGTAAAAATTAGCATTAATAAATTAATAGATGTATAAAAATAAGTGTATTGTTTATACAATTTATTATTTGAGACTTTAAAAATCAATTTTAAAATGAATAAAATACTTTATAAGAATGAAAAAATAATTCACATAAGTTTTGACAGACTTTGACATTTTTATTATAAAAATGGTCTCTAAGAAATCAACAAAAACGAATTGTTCTACTGAATATTAGAATAGATATATTTAATTTTTAAAACTTTTGTTTAAATATTAAAAAAAAAAAAAAAAATTGTAGTGATCACTTTTAAATTTAAAAACTTTAAACTTATCGAACTATAACACATTTTATAAGCATATAAGTTTATATACAAATTGTATATATATATATTATGTTGGTTATAATAATTGTTAGCGGCGTCATAACTCAACAACAACAAGAAAAACGTATAAGAAGAAAAAATAAAAAAGAGAATTAGAGAGAAAAACAGCAAACCGCAGATAGAGAGGTGGATGAAAAACTTTATCATCTCAAAATAGTCTAGAAAATACGGGTACGACTATTGATTGTTGTCCATACGACATCTGGCGAGCTTACGCGAAATTTCTAAGGTAGGGATGGAGTTTAATTATGGGCCATACCAACGACTTTTACCGGATTTTCTGTGGCAACAGAGGGTTTGAAAAGGAAACGCAAACGCCAAACGCCAACTTTGCTAGAGAGTTCAATGGACTAGGCAGAGAGGACACATTAAAAGTATAATTTATTAAAAGAAAAAGTTATTCCAGGACAATAAATAATAACTTTATATTGTGTAGAAAAAAACTTATGTACAAAAATCTCGTCTGGTAAAATTGTACTGTGATTTAAATTTTTTGTTATCCAATATCGTCAGTTGTCAACAATATGTTCTCCCTATAACTTTTATAGGTTGATATCTATCTATTTACATCACACTAATTACCTGAGAAAAACAGTATTACAAGTGTAACTTTATATTGTAACTATCATTAGTTGACTGTCAGCGTTGTTCTCGACTTCTCAATCTAGTCAATAATTTTATACTCTAAATTATATGATTATCTTCAAATTTAATTTGTTTAAATTAAAAATTAATTTACTTTTATATATGACTTTATTATTTGAAACTACTGAACTAACTGGCACTCAATTTTGCACATATATTCTTTAAAGCTCTGGAAGTGTTTACAGCTTAATTTTTCATCTCATATGTTCATGAAAACCAAATATTATTTAGCTTGTATGTAGAATAATTGTCATTTGTTACGAAAATAAAAAAGACTTATGAAATATATATATATTACCAAAAATTTAGCAATCGACTTTAATAAAAATTTCAAATTCATCATAGAAATATCAGGAAAGCTTAAAGTTTAGTTTGAACTACATTTGAAAATATACTACATGTGGATTACCCACACCAGTCAAATTATTTCATAAAGTAGGGAAAACAAATGCTGATTTTCTGGTGAGCATAATGAAATTATTGATAATATTAAAAGATCAATAAATAAAGAATCTTTTGTTTCTAATTCTTAAGTATTAATGACAATATTTTACAATTTTAATAAAACATTTACCTTAAAAATAATTAACCACTATAATTGATTTTTACGAATTTCGAATAAACGGAATGACTTTCATTTTTTTTTTTTCATTTTATAAGGAACTGTTTATAAAATTTAGACGGTTTTATTCAAACACGAAAATGCGTAACGAAAATTTGAAACACTATACAATTTTGAAAAAGTTAATAGCTCAAACATAAATATTTTGAAAATTTTACTACGTCTATAAAATATTAATTTATATATATTTAAAAATATGTAAAACTAGTGTTGCATTAATACTTTTATTGTAATATTATTTTTTGTTTCATTTTTTCTTATTATTTTAAAAAGTATTAAATATTTTCTAATCCTCAAAGTATTAATTGATCCAATTTGTTACTAGGAACAACACACAAGTCGAAAAATATTGATAAATTATTATTACTCCAAAAGTTAGTTGACAGAAAAAAAAAACAGAAAAAAATTTACATCAATATAAATTTAATACATTAAATTTCCAATAAGAATTTAAAATATGAAAACCATAGTTCAATTTTTAATTTCAAAAAAAAAAAAAAAAATCAAATTGCTTACTTTTATTTAATATTGATTTAAGTCAAGCAACTTTAAATTCGTACAACACATTTCCATGATCATAATACCGACTAAAATATATATGAACCGAAATGCATAAATTAATTTGTAATTAATATTTCAGGGAAAAGTTACACTAATTAAAAACCAATAAACAGTATCATATTAATCCGATAATTATTTTTCCTTTTTTTTATATCCGCAATAATATTAAATCTAATATTAGTTTATTTAACATTAAAAAAAAAAAAAAATGTTTATTTTTAAAACGAATTAGATATTTAGATATAGTAATATATGGAGCTGAATCGCTTCATATAATTAAAGATGTTAATTAACGTTTACATTAGTTTCACAAGTTAAGTATATTAAGAATAAACCATTAGTCGTATACATACTTGTTACTTTAAAATTATCGTGAGTTGACTCATTTATTGTTTAATTTGATATATATAAATAACTTATTTCATTTTATATATCAAATTTAATCAATCTAGGTTATTTTTGAGCCAAATAATTACTCAAATAAGACTAAATATTAAATAAATAAATACTTCATTAATGTATGTTTAGCTCATTATTAATGGAAAATTAATTACAATATTTTAAAAAGTAATTTGTACAAAGTCTAGTTGTATACTGTTAAATTGTCAATTAGTTTTTTATCAGGCAATAGTATAAACAGTTGTAATTTCCTATTGACCATAAAATAATTGCGTATCTACTTGCTGTTTAATTTTTAATTTGAAATCAGTATTGTTGAATAAATGCATAAATTATAATTCATTATTATTATTATTATTATTATTTTTGTTGTTGTTATTAACTAAATTTTTCATGTTAATTTTGTTTCAGAGAGCGTTCAAGGCAAATTCGAAAGGCAACTGTTGGATGACCTCTTAATGGAATACAACCCTCTGGAGAGACCTGTATCCAACGAATCCGATCCACTTGAAGTTACATTTGGTATCACACTACAGCAGATAATAGACGTGGTCCGTATACTTTTGCAATGTATTTTATTCGATCCTAAAACGTTATTGTGTGGCAATAGTATAAAGTACAATTTACTCGATACAAAAACAAATAACATAAGGGCATAAATTCGTAGTTACTTTGAAACAAATGAACGTGTATAAATCATAATTATATTACCTATGCTGACTAACTAATAATTAATGATTTGTTTGTTAAAAATACAATTATTATCACCCGTTATAGTAGTACCTATATTCTATAATGCAAGATACAACGGTGATGGTCAATGATAATAAATTAAAAGCGTATTTTTTTTCATTTTAACATAAATACTCATTTTGGAAAAAATATTTTTTTGTTTTTAAAATATTCATAGAACATATAGAATTTTATCGTAGTGATTTAATTGTTTTACTTTTATATTTTTAAAGAACTAATTATTTACTTTTAATATTTACCATACAACCTATAATTTCAAATACAATTTTTTTTCTATATTTTTAAAATAAAGTGTTGGTAAATAGTTAAAAAAAAAAAAAAAAAATATTGATTGTTTTTAAAAATTAAAATTTGATTTTTTTCAATAACAAAAAGTGAATGGTAATAAATACGATAAAAAAATATTAAATTTATTTATATCTATCGTAAATATCCAATAATACTATGTATAATTTAGAAATGAAAGTATATTTAAAATATTAATATAAGATTAAATATATAAAAATTTTAAGAAGTACGCTGTAAATTTAAAATCAACATGTTGTTTTCAAGTTACACAGATACAAAAACTTGAAAAAATAGTAATACACACATTTAATACTAATAATATTAAACGATGTAGTTAACAAATATTGTCACATTATAATAGTAAATTAGTAATAAAATGTATTGGTTGGTAAATCGACATATCACAATATTGCAATTTATAGTGAAAATAAATATACAAATGTTTATTCGTAGATCGTTTAAAATTAAAAAAAAATAAAATGTTTATTATTTACTTTTTTTTGATTTAACGATATTGAACATTTAATGTAATTTTAAAGTAGCTGTAATGATTAATAAATAAATTATAACCAAAAATGTGACTTAAAATGAATTCTTAATGAATTTATCCTTTAAATATTTGAGCTATATTTTAAAATAATATAACATATTTTATTCTCTGTGTCGCTGTCTAGACAAGTTTTCTAAATAAGGTTTGTAAGGGACAAATCACGTTACTAAAATCCCTAGTGGTAGACCACCCTAAGATCAATAGAATTGGTTTACAAGATTTAACTTTAACACGATACAAATTACATAAGTAATATTGAAATATATTTCAATTTTAACAGCTTATAAGAATCAAAATCATAAATGTGTATGAGATGCAGTAAGATAAGAGTCAGGCTTAATATATATAGACTAACAAGATACAATCGATCTACCAACACTTTTGAGATTATATTATTCATTAAAATCTTACCTAAGACTCAATTTAAAATATGCTAAGCGAATATCACGTAAATAGATAATTTTGTATTAATGAATCAATTATCTTAAATGATTATTTAACTTTTAAATAAAAAAAAAAATAGTATATTTTCGCGATGTTAACAATATTTTAACTTCAAACACTTATAAAAAAATAAAAATAAATTTATCATAAACCATTTTTAAATTGTTATAATTACAACTCGTAAGTAATATTACATTATATTTTCAAGCTTTTGACGTATAAACAAACATTTCATTAATATAAATCGAAAAAAATAAACGAAGTTAAACATCTTTTATACCTATAAGGCTATAAATAATACAAAAAGTGACGGAATATTTTGAATATTAATTAACTACAAATATTGTTGATAATACAAATAAATTTTTGAAATTCGAATTAGATATTATTTATATTTAATAGTATTTATCATTATATTCAAATAAAATTTTAAAATAATTCAAATAATTCAGAAAGTAATTTCTGGCATTGTTGATTGAAAATTATACAGGTTAAATCTATTTGTTGACCAAGTTTTTATAACATTTAACTTCTTGACCACTCTACACCAGCATCTTAGCCAAAATAATAATAATTTCTATTACAGTGTAAATAAAACAACAAGTTAGTAACTAAATTAAATCAGTAGAATATCAAATCTATTTATTTTGGAATTAATGCTGATACCATTAGGACTGATAGCCGAATAAAAAAGCAACAGAGTCCACGCGTATTTCACATCTATATTTGACGTTTATTGTCTGGTTTATTATTCACAGTTAAATCTTTTTTACCTGCTCCTTATTACTACTTTATTCTGAACTCCTCAAAAATAGATTTTTTTCAGTGAAATATTACAACTCATTTTTTCTTCTACAAGATAAATGTAAGTATCCCTCGGGGCAATGATCTGTCACCTATTATTTAGTTATAACATTTATACCTTTAATACTCCAAAAAAACTTCTCTGGAAACTTATACCGATCATACTGCGGCTTTATAAATATCAAACCCAATCTTACCCAAGCTAATCCAATAAAAAAATACATACATAATATCACGTTGCCTGTAATGCACATCTCTAATCGATTCAAATACAATTAAATATTATAATACTGATACTTATCATCAATAATAATACGTGTACTCGATCACTCATTAAAAGTGTACATCAAGTACCTACCTAAAAAATAAATATTGCTGTTAAATTTTATTTTTATTCATTTTTTGGTATTTAAAGAATTAATTTGATCATTAATTTATATTAATTCAAAATAATTGATCTTATCTGCTATAAACGAAATATATTTTATGATTATAATTATTTGCTAAAACTGGGATCTATGTTTTAACTTTTCAGAACATAATTCTCACATTTAAGGCAATATTTTCCCTTTTATAATCATTATGATGCTGTTAATGAACAGAACCAATTGTTCAAACATATAGTTACAGTCACTACAAATTATCTGTGACATAAACATGATAGTTAGTAGTAGTAATAGTTCCAATCTTTCCGAATTGTTAGTTCATTTTTATGAAAATGTATTTCTACAAAATTCTTATCATCTCTAATATCAATAGGAGGTATATAATTTTTAGAAAATAATTATTATCTATTCCAATGACCTCTTCTGAAAAAAAAATCTTTTATGAACTATAGCAAATATTTCTATTCAAAGAAGAGTACATTAATATAACAAAAAATCAATAAAATGAGTGACATAGAAAAATGGCAATCACAATTACCATTTAATTAATGCATCCAGAAAGTAACAATAAATTAGGATCACTCTACTTGATATTATGAATGATTTTTATTAAGCTAAATTCTAACGAAAATCAACTTATAATTTAATTAAACACTTTCACAAGAAATTACATCTATGATATCTTAAAATATAATTATCAAAATACAATAAAAAATACATATATTTACCTGCTTAGATAAAATTATCTGTACAATATAATATTAAAGAAAATTTTAGAAATTCATAAAAAATATTATCATACTACAACTGTAACAATTTATAACTATTCAATTTGTATACACTATTTTATAACTACGATTTATTAACGTTTTTATTCACAAACTAACTAAATAACTGATAAAAAATTAATTAAGAAATGAATAAATAACTACCAGATAAAAAATAAACAACTTTTTTTTTCATTTAAAATGCATAAAATATACTTTTAAATTATAGACTACTGTACCTACTTAGGAAATTAAAAAAATAATCAAAAATTGTTATTAAAATGCTATAAAACAATTTAACGTGATTTCAAAAGTATTGTTTTATTTTTTTATCTTTTATTTTCATTATGATTTAAGGTAGACGTGTTCTGAATTACTAAAATGGAAATTTCAAATACATTATTATTATGACATTATTAGAGCTGTAAAATGACTATTTCTGTATTCGTGTAGCTATATTATATATATATTTAAAATATTATTTATGTGGACTCGTATTTTTACTAGTTCGCATTTTTTTTTTTAACTGTGTGATTACTGATTTTTTTTCTTAATAATTATAAAATAATTATAATTATATAATATTTGTAAGCCATACAATTATTTATTAAAATTACATTGTTTTAGGATGAAAAAAATCAAATCGTTATAACAAATGCTTGGTTAAACATGGTGAGTACTTTTATTATTTTAATTATGTACTAGATAGTATATTTTGATTTTTTCAACATAAATTATATTATATTATTAGTCTATTATTTAATCAGAAATTATTTATACTTATTGATTGAATCAAACATTTTTTAGATTTTTCAAAAATAAATACTTGCTTTTATCTATTATTTGATTTTTTTCAGAATTCAAAAATAACATAAATTAAATAATAATCTTCTTATAATATTACACTATGTAGTATTCACATAATATTGTTATGTAATATTTGAAAGGTGGAATCCATATAACTGTTTAACTATTTTTCTTCTTAAATAACTAATTAGTAGCAATGTGAAACTAAGATAATCTTTATTTTTAATCCAATTTTACAGATATTATAAAAATAAACGGTTTTTAAAGGTTCGTCTTTCTTAATTAATCTCCACTAAATTCAGTGTTGTATTATAATTATACGTTTGAAAGCAATGATAAAATATTAAATATTAAATTTAAAAATAATAAAGGTTCTCTAAAAAGTTTACTAGTACTTTAAATGCTTTGAAAGTTTACAATAAATATTTTGTTCAAATGATGAAAATTCTAGACTCGTAAACTATAAACCCTTAAATAAATAAAATAAAATCAGAAGATGTTCTATATTCTTAAAAAAAGAAAAAATATTAAACATACGTAAATTTAAAATTTTATTAAGTTAATTTAGCATATAACTATTCAAATAACATAAGATGAATACAATGTATCTAATGTACAATGTAACAATGATAATCTAAAAAAATGATGAAAAAAAAAAATTCAACACATTTTTAGATATTTAAAAAAAAATCTTTTAGTCTGATTTACTCAACTTGCTTTGGTAATTACTTTTTTAAATATTAAAGTTATAAAAGATAACACTTTTATAGTAGTTTTAATAGTTTTTAAGAATAATAATAATTATTTTCAAATGTATAAAACTATAAAAGTAACAATATAAACTATATTTGAAATAATAAATAATTGTACACCTCATGTATTTTAATTATTTTATTAGTTTTTGAGTAGGTACTTTTAATGTTTCAATATTTTTAATCATCACTATTTCTTGCAACTCGACACTATATTTAATTTTGGTAGTAGATATTTCTTTAAAATTATTATCACATCATTATTATATTACACAAATAGATAGCGACAGTTTTAGAATAAAAAATCATAGTATCATAGTCAATTTCTAAGACATTTCACAAGTCTTTGAAAGTCGTAACTCGTATTACACTAACATGCGGATATCTGATCTTTAAACAGAAAATAGAAACAACCTCAATCTTATTACTAAAAATCAAATCCTACCAAAGAGAATTCACTTTCGTTCTTCACATCTAATCAAAACTCTTCCATGTAGCTTATAATATAATAATATACAATCTGGTATTATACAAAGAACAACCAGAGCTTTTACTTTTATTTCATATTTGTGTGTTATATTTATCAACCCAACCAATCCTTAAAATCACCCAAGTCGAGGATTATGCAAATAACATAACAGTAGATAGATACATTTACATTGTAACATCGTACAGGTGTAACTCAATAACTGCTGTCAAAAACATAAAAAAAAAAAATAAAATGACATTTTTATGATAATCGGTATCAAATCGAATACATTTCTATCTACTCATATTCATTCACTGAAGTAATAAAAATTTTTCAATTTTACATTAATTCTTTAAAAATATATTTTTTTAATTATGATCATTAAAACATATGACAATATTTGTATATTTACTATAATATATAAATATATACTACTATATTAGACATGAAATTATAGAATATATAATAATATACTGCACTATTGTATTCCAACTCAATAATTAATCTGCTTGTATTTTATAGTTTTTGTTTTATTACCTATAAAAAAAAAAAAAAAAAATGATAATGGAATAATAAATATGTTATTAAAATATATATATTTTAATTTTAACATAGTTCCATTTTGGTAAAAATCAATTACAATATTACATATATTTTATTGTAAATTACTTTTTGCAATAAATTATTTCAGTTTTTAGTTCCTACCTTTTCGCAACACACATATAATACACTATAGATAGGTATTAGATATTTAACTACCTACATAAAATATATATCACATATCAAAGAACTGAAAGTAGTCAATCGATTTTTTTTTAAGGAAAACACATTTTTATAAGTTAACGAAACATTTTTATCTATATTATATTCCTGTAAAGAATAATAAACGTAAAAGACAGCCAGTTTACGGGTAAACAAAATTTAAATAAGTTGACAAAAATTTTTGACTATATAATAAATTTACTGTATACATGACCATATTATTATAATTGTTATAAACATTAAATACTTTGTATTTATACAAAGAATACATCACTATTAAAATGATCCAATTATCAAATATTTCCCTCTATTTAAAAAAGTCACGAGTATGTAACAAAAATAATTGAGAATAAATTATAAACTCTACAATTTTTCAATATTGTATAGTAAAAATATCACGAGTTAAAATATACAACAATATGAAATTTTTTATTTTATTTTTCTTTTTACAATACTTTTCACTTACATAATATTACGTATGTATTTTTATAAGCTACTTTATGAATATTAATTATACAGTATTATTCCATAGAAAAAAATAACTTATAAATAATATTTTTATCCAATTCTTTTAACATCTTAAATAAAAAAATTTTGTTAGTTACAAAAGACGACTAAACTATAATCAAACGTTATATATATATAAATATATTATAAAACATTTTCGGAATTTAAATTACTATACACTCATGCCCTTCAACCTAAGACACAATCCTCCGTAAGTATAACAACACTAGTATTTAAAATTGCGTTATTTCCAGTTACCTATAACTATATTTAGTCAGTACAAAAATATAATAGACTTTAAATTAATAATTTCATCTAAACAAAAGTAACTCACTTATATCTTACTCCAATGTTTATTCGATTATAATAAGATCATAAGTAGGTACTTAAATTGCCTATCTAAAATGCCGTGTAATCATCATAACTGTATTTTTGTATAACGATATACATGTACTAACCTGTAATTTATGCCATACCCTACGATTTTTGTTTAAATCAAAAGAATACAAGAACGTAAAATACGAGAATATATAAATTATTGATTAAGCCAATCAGTCAATATTAGATCGTGAAATAGAGACAACAGTCATCTCTATATATTTAAGTGACATTTTTTTTTAAATTTTATACATGCATAATAGCGTATAGTAAATTTATCTACCTTTTAGATAAATCATAATATTTTCTATTGATTCAAATCGCACTCTGCTACTCCTGTGATCTTCAATATACTACCCTTAATAACCAGGTTACTCAGGTGATAATGTACTGTATAATTTTACTGATATTTAGTCATACAAATAAACCCCGAAAACGTTGCTATAATATTCTTTCTATTGTGTTAATTTATGAACGAAGGTAATAAAGTTCTAGGACCTGTAAAATATAACTTAGAAAATTGTATTTGTATAAATTCAAAAACCCGGTTCTAGAGAACGGTTCATGTAATGGGAATAGCAAACCAACTATTCCTTACTGGATAGAATTAGATATAAATATCGACAGACACTTGATTTTAATAAACGGATAGATGTATTACAATTGAAATACAATAAATTTCCATAATTGTAATATTATAATATTGCCATGATGACAATCATAATATACTATTAATTAAGAATTCATAAATTATTGACTGCCCCCAAAAATATTACTGCCATCAATTTAACTAAATTATCCTGCTAGAGCAAACTTTTTGTAACTTATACAATTATTATAATATTTTCTATACCTACAGCTATTATTAAATGTATAATATTATTTAAATTCAATAAAGTGTTAAAGAATATTTTTAGTCAGCAAATTATACATTTTAAAATGATAATACATCGCTATATATAAATATTTAATTTTAATTTAACGTAAAATGTGCTATGTTACTGAAAAGGATTCAAAGTTAAAAAAAATTAATTATTTACGTATTAATAAATAAATTGAGCCAAAAACGCATTCACATTTCTTAATGGTAAATGGAGAGAAAAAAAATAAAAAGGTTGATCAGTTCTAAATGTTTTAATAAGACAAAAAGTTAATTTTTACATTTTAATTTAAATAATATCTACTTGAAACTTAATTCAAATAAATTTTAATTTAAGCAAACACTAACTCTAAAAAAAATATTTAACAACTTTTTGATAAAAATAAATCAACATATAATATTCTACCTAGTATCTATGATATTTAAGTATTTACGTATTTATTATATTAAATGGTTATATAATAGAAATAAATCTAAAACTAATATTACAGATTTACTGTAGTTATTTTTGAAAAATATTGAAACTTTACACTTGAAATCAACACACGTTAAAACAAAAATATAAATTTTACTATGAACATGAGTAATACTATATAATTTAGCTAGTGAATTGAAAAAAAGTTTTTAAATAGTTTAAAAAGTTTAAACGTAAAAAAATATTATCGGTGTATAGTGTATACTTTATGGAAAACCACAGTTTAAGATGTATATAATATATTTTTTAAAGTTTGTCATATGATTCTATACGAAATAATGACATATATGTAAACATTTTATTGTTTATTTATATACCCTTAAAATTGTCATAGCTATATATTAAAATAAATAATAACGTTTTATATTGCTTTATTATAATTTTTATTGACACCTCAATCGTATTTTTCATTTTTCATTTATATTAATTATACAATTTATAAATACTTATTACAAACATATTCACAAAGTTGTAATTAATAGTATTATACGATTATATCAAACTATAGTCCTCATAACTATAAGTTACATACAATCAAACGAAAAACACATGACACTCGACCGTTAACGATACAAAAAAAGACAATATTGAATAATTAAAGTGTGTTTAATAGCATGGTTCATTATTTTTATAAACAGTTATAATAATTACCAACGTTATCAAATTTAGGCCTCTCAGTTTTAAATCTCAATAAATATAGTTAGGTAAAAACACACCAATCCATATGTATTAAGAATATGTTAACTGTTTATTGGTAGTTTACCTTTGATCACAGATTAAAAAAAATGTTTCTCATATCCACACCATGGACACTTGTTATGAACTCTGTTCATTTACTATACTTATCATTAACTTAAGTTTTAAATATTCAAGTTTTCAATTTTAGGTTTGCTATCGTGACACTCACGTTTATACAGTTTATTAATAATTTGTTGTATTATTCACGTAACGCCGTTAGGTATGAAATGTAGTCTATAGAGTGAAAGCAATTTCAGATTGGAAATAACTAAAAACAAAGTAAAATAACTAACGTCTTCGATATAATCTGTCATAGTTATCGTATATATGTATATATATCTATCTATCTATCTTTCTATCTATATATATATATTAATTTTCTTGAACAGTAGAGTAATTGAAAAAACTAATGGATTCCTCATGTTCAACAATCAAACTTGTTTCATAAGAAAACAGTTCATGTTGTTTATGATTGATAAGAAAATAATAATTTGAGTAATCAAAAATTAAATATTAATGAATATCATTTTTATTTATTTTATTTATTGACTTACAGAAAATATATTTTTTAAATTGTTTTAACTTTAAAGAACAGATCTCAGAATGAAAACAATTTGTATTACAATAACACTCAGTTTGTTAACAGCAAATATATAATTTTGATTATTATAAGATATTTAATAGTTCTATTTAGCATACATAATCTATCATAATCTACTATAATCTATAAATAATCATATGTATAAAATATTACTTTGAGTTGCGTAAAAATTGCACATAAATTATATTATTTGTTAATTAAAATACAAAAACAAAAATCCCATAACACAGAAGGTTCAAATTTTACAACTTAATGATATATCGTTTTAAAATTTTTAAAATATCACTTTTCTAAACACATTCCCCACACATATTTTGTTCAGAGGTGTGTTAAAAATGTAATACTCACATATTTTCATAGTTTTATCTTTTAGTTTCTAATTTTTAATTATATCGATTACTAGAATATTTTAAGTAATATTTAATATCTAATGTAATATTAAATTACTGCAGATCTATTTGTTGTTCTTTCTACCAATATATGAATAATATAACTAAATATTCGTTATAACCAAAAAAAAAAAAAATTATACTTATGATTATAAAGATTTTATTGATAAAATAAAATATATTACTGGCATTGATGATTTGAAAAATCAAAATGACTACAAAAGGTTTTGTACGTTTCAAATGTTTCAATTTAAATCTATGTGGCTTGGTGTGGCGCGTTGGCTGCTGCCAGTCGCGAAATGCGACTGGGGGTAAGTAACGGACAGAGCTACTAATTTCCGGATAGGTGGCCACCCGGGCTCGTAGTAGTTAAAAACCTTGCCACACATACACGTGTTTGCTATCAACCGTAACAACCATAACAATTGTAAAAACAACCTACCAACCTTACCTCTACCCACAGTTCATAACCCCTACAACAGCTAATGGCCCTAGTCGCCGGGCTTAAGTTCAATAAAAAAAAAAAAAAAAAAATCTATATTTAATTATTATTATCTATGAAAATATTACTCTGTTCTAAAATACAAATATTTAATATATTTAATAATTTAATTGTAAATTATAGTTATATTAACAATTAATAAAATTAATGTTGTTATTCGCTAGTTAAACTTATCTGATATAGGCGATGTATATACCTACACATTTTAAAATAAAAATAAACAAAACCAAATTAAAAATAATGGGCATTTAAAACTTTATTTAATGAACCTTAAGCACACATTTAGAAAAATATTTATATTATAATATATGTGCAATAAACTTCGGTAGGTAAAACTTCATCAGTTTAATATTTTTAACACAATCTAGCTTTAAAAATTACAACGTAATATTCAACTTGTGTTCTAATAAATATTAACAATTTAATTACAATACTAATTTAGTTTTGAACCATTAAATTATATTATAATATGGTACATTTATAAAATCATAAATAAAGTACTTTATGAGTAGAAAACTACTCGTATATAACAAGCATTAAGTAAAATATATTCAACTCAAATGAGAAAATATCGTCGTGACAGCAATACGCATAACATAATTCACAATGTTCCCTTTGAGAAAAGTTATTCGGAAAACTAATTTCTATGTTTGAAAACAACCTGTGAAAGCTTCGATTTAATCTGGTTTTGTCATTAGAAGTATCCCAGTAGAATAATATATAGTATGTACAAAAGCTCCCTCCCAGGGATCAACGAAATTCAAATAATTTTGGTTTTAAAGTTTAAACAGAATAGTTTATAGATATATTAAGAGTTATAGGGAATCCGCCGAATTTGGTATTTATGCTTGGATTAATGTTAATTATTTATATTGTTATAAACTTATTTTATTTAAATAGTAAACAATTATTTTATGGTAGGAATGGGTAGATTACAATATGAGATGGAACATTTCCGATTATGGTGGTGTCAAGGATCTCAGACTCAATCCAAACCGGCTATGGAAACCAGACATACTCATGTATAACAGGTCAGTATTTAATTGTATAGTTTTAGAAAAATAAAATGCACTCTACTTTAATTTTTCAAACAGAAAGCTATCATTTAAAGACTAAAAAGGCGTAATGCATACCTAATTGTTTCGGCTTTTTTTTTCTTATCCAACAGAAGCTGCTAAAAATTAATATAACCTTATATGCCATACAAATAAAACAAATCTACATACATAATTATTTTTAATGTAACGTTGTAAAATGTTATTACATATTTCTATTAATATACATCACTTCAGTAATATATTATAAAGACCATGCATCGAAGTTAATAATTAACTACATATAATCTCATGGATATTTAAAAAAATATTTAGAATGATATTACAACTTAAAATAAAATGTTTTTCCTGGACCTAACTGATTTTCTACAAGCGAGTGTCTTAAACAACATAAAAATAGATTTTTTTTTCAATTTATTTGTTTTATTTTACTATATAATTTACCAAATCTTAATTATTTCAATACATATTTCTCTGATAACTGTTAAAATGCAATATTTAAAAATAAAATAGTTAATAAATTAAATTAAATATTTAATAATAATATATATATATATAACTAATGGTGCTAATATTTATTTTTACTTAATTTAAAATTATTAATATTAACTTAATATCATATTAACGATATAAATAAGTAACTTATTTGCTACAATAATAAAGTTTACACTAAGTATTTTTATTTCAAAACCAAAATAACATAACATTTTATATGTTATATAAAGTATAATATGCTAATAAGTAATAATTGATTTTAAATTGAATATACCGAATATTTAAAAATAAATATTAATTTTTTATAACTTAAGTTTAAATTTAATTAATCTAGTTAAAATTATGAAAAAATATATAAACATCATTAATAACTAATATAATTTGATTTTACTCTAAAATAATTTTCTGGGGCGTGTATTAATAAGACCTATGCTTATATATATATATATTTATACAGCCATTGAAAAACTAATGTATTTGATAAGATAAAAATAACTTCTAAAGATGGTGACATTTGAGATAAGCATTTAAGGAAAATCAATATAGAGAATGTAGCTAAGTGCAGTAATCTACTTATATTGTCTTCAAGACGTTACAATAATGTGAATTTTGTTCATAAAACAATTTATAGGAAAATGATTAAATATTTTAGACATTTAGCTAAAAACAATCACATTTCATGTGATAGTCAAAATTCTATTTTTCTTATTTAATTTTTTAACCAGTTCATACGTTTAAATACTGCAAACATCATATTTTACTCTATTCGATTTAATATGCTACAATAGTTAAATAAATAAATATTTTATTTTTATTCATCTTTGTAAGTTCAAAACAATGCGAACAATAATTTTATAAATTATATTATTAGTAGAGTATAAATTTGTTTCCAATTTAAAGTAAAAGTAACTTTTACTTACTTTATTTAACTCTATATCGTGCCACGTTATTATATTAAACTAATTTATTTAGATAATATTCAATTATTAAAAACTAAATTTACTATAAAATTGCACTTTATATAAAGCAACTTCTTACGGCTGTAAAATATTGATAATTAAACAAAAATAAATATTAGGTTAGATATGACAATATATGGTTAAGATTTCTGATCAAAAAATATTTACAATTTTTTTCGATGTCATATAAAATTTATATTCTAATTTAAAAAATCAGTAACAATTCAATATGTGTCCTATACAAATCAATTTTTAGTACAAATATACATCATTAAACATAATATTATGTAATAAATATGAGAAAAAAAAACTTTATTTAAAACATGTATAAAAACATTTTATATACATAATAATAGCTTGCTTCAAAATATAATTCTATACAATTTTAGAAAGCATCAAAAATATTTATATCTCATTTTTCTAACGACAAAAAGTTTCACTCCAGAGTAATTCGCTAAGTATTTGTCGAAAACAGTTGCGTTTTAGTAGCAGGACCTATAATATTAGAGAAAAAGTATTATTTTTTTAAATTAATATAGATATTACAATACTACAAACTACACCTACAATTAACATTTATTCACTGTTGTTTTGTATTTTACAAGTGTTTTCTTGCTTTTGAGTCAATAAAAATTTTGAGTTGTTAACAGTCTTATGAATATATCTGTATCTTTAAACGTTCTATTTAGTGATGGTTATGTGTAAGTGCTCTTATCTTAAGTCAGATTAATATTTTTTTTTTTTTTTATATTGTTGACAATAAAAATATAATTGTTTAAATTTAAGTTGATATAAATATTTTAATGACTTCTAAAATGCTTTAGAATTATACTTTAATGTTTTAATACTAAAATTTTAATATTCAACACTATATAAATTTTGAACAGTATTCAACAATAAAAATTTATTTATAATATTTTATAATGGGCCATTACAAAATTAATTTTACTATTAAGCCTATAACTTAAGTTAAAGTACAGCTAAATTTAAAACAAGGGTAAAAATATTAAATTCTGAAATAGGAGAATTTCAAATATGAGTGGACTGACGATGATATAATGCATTTGACAACTCCTATAGGACCTATACAGTCTTAAATTGATTGATTTTTGTTTAGAGAATGATGATTTATAGTCGGGTCATATTTTATAACTAGATACATTATTACGAATAAACGAATAAACAAGTGGGAGCTTTTAATGGGTCACTGTTGGTCTGTAAATATTTTAATAATTTCTAATGAGATATTTATCTTCATGCATAACACGGCGTAGTTTTATAGTCACAATAATTACGTGTGTATCTTTAAGATTGCAAATTATGACACTGAAAAATTACTTTTAATTTTCCATGCTTACCAAACTTTAATGATAGTTATAACCAACAGATAGTTTAGAAGGTATTAATTTTTATTATTGGAATTTTATTTAAGTCTGTGTTGATTATATTATATGAATCATATATTTTATAAACGAAAATTAATTATTAAAATGAAAACTGTAGATACAAAAATGCAGAATTCAAATTTTTTGTATTGATTTAAGAAAATTATATTCTATGAAACGTTACACAATAAGCAATTATTATGATAAAATTTGATTGTATTCTCATTGATCTATCAAAATGTTTAAAATATAAATTAAATACGTTTTCTGATAAATATCTATTTTTTTTCAACTTAGCTGAATTATAAAAAAAATTATTTATGCGAATTTTTATAATACACTAGGTACTTTGAAGTACGTGTATAAAATAAAAAATAAAGTATAATTTAACCGAAATAAAAATTGTACATAATTTAAATTACATAAACTCTGAAATAAATTTTGAATAATTTTTATGTAATGACTTTAAGATATCTATAACATATGGTCAACTAGACGGTACTCTGAATGACTACCTATAAATGCTAAAATCTATTTGTATTAGACTGCAATAAAATATTTTTAAATAAAAAAAATATATTTACAATCAAAAATTACGATATTATGTGTGTACATATTTGTTTTGTATATCTTAACTAAACTGCAAAATTGATATGAATATTGTATAAGAAATAAATAAAAAAAATACCAGTTTATGGTTATTTACATTCACAATTTTCACTTATGACATCATATAATCTATTCATAATTTAAATTATTGAACAATGTAAATACTGAAAAGTATTTAAAAGTCTCGAATCACATTAGTTTAATTAATTTAAAAAATATTAATATTAGGTAGTTATAAGTATGTGCAAAATTTTAATATCCATCTAAACAAATTAGATTATAAATTATATTTTATAGCTTTTAAAATTACGATTTCGGGTAAATTTTTAAAATTCGTAACAGTAAGCTGAGAATTTAGTATGTTCAACGAGCGTATTTTCTTTTACAATTTCGCATACTTATTTATCTATAGATCAACATTAATCAATAGTACTATAATTATTTACATCTTCTATTTTCTATAATAATACATTTTTTCAGGAAAAAAATACTCGTTTATCCACAATCTACTTAGAGAAATTTAAAATGAGCTAATATTTCTGTTATTTATATATATATCTGATTAATTTTATGTTTTAAATTAAAATCACTATTTGTTCAAAAATATTTATTTGAAAACTAATATTTAGTTAAATTTATATTACATCCATTAAAAAATATTTCATATAAATAAAGTCACTATTACAATGAAAAAAAAAATCAAATCACATACATAAAGATTGATGTTTAGTTGATAAAAAATTAACAATATAGAATTTATTCGTTATCCTTATTTTTAGTGATCAGAAATTAAATGTATTTTAATGCTTACAGCGCTGACGAGAAATTTGATGGTACTTATCAAACTAATGTGGTAGTAAGGCACAATGGTACATGCCTGTACGTGCCACCTGGTATTTTCAAAAGTACATGTAAAATCGACATTACATGGTTCCCATTTGATGACCAAAATTGCCTTATGAAATTTGGTAGTTGGACATACAACGGTTTTCAGGTAAGCACATTAATTTTCTAATATGTAATTTCGAATTATAAATTAATATTTAATATGATTATTTAAATTAATATTTTTTTATTTTTTTTATATTATCTATTATAAAAGTATAGTTACGATGGTCAATAATTTCAAGTTAAACTGTATAGAATATATGGTTTTAATCTAAAAAAAATTAAAATTAAAAAGTACAATTGTTTTCATTAATTAAAATCACTTTTTGAGCTTATATGGGAAAAGGGTCTTTAAAACTTGTTAAAAATCTTTTTTTTTATTTCTTTTGTTATCAATGAATTTGCATTTTTATTACACTTTCATGTTGCATATTATACTTTTTATGCTTTCGTTGAATATACCTTTTTAAAATTTGTAATTACGTTAAAAACCATGTAAAATTAATTATATTAAAAAAATTAATAAATATATTACGATCATCTACTGTCAAATATTACAAAATAATAATTTTTACAACATAAAACAACTAATATAATATAATATTATGTATGAATATAAATTACCTACACAGATATTTATATTTTCTAAAATTATTAATATTATTTTATAGTAACATTAACCTATAATATATCAGTTATATTATAACATTCGCTTTTTAAACAAGACAAATTATTAATAATTGACACTACTTGAATCAATTTTTTTTTTTAAAAAAAAAACAATTTTTTAATATTTTAAATTCATAACAATCATATTGTTTATTTGTTCAAATAAATTCAAAAATTCAGTTAACATACAAATATTAAATTATATTTTTAACACTTAAGTCTTATTAATGTATTTTTGAATTGTATTCAATGAGATATTTTTTTTATTTTTTTATAAAATATTAAAAGTAAAATAAAATTAATAATGTAATTCATATTTATAATTTTTATACTCCCAATAATAACAGTTGTTAATTTATAAAAATATCTAAATGTCTGTATAAATTATTTGATTAGTTTTGGTTTTATTAAAAGATGATAAGATGATAAATATTTTAACTAGGTAAATTATATATGAACAACATATAATAATTAAATATTATTTTTATTTATTAAATAATATACCAAATGAAAATATAAATCAAAATTATCAGTGATATTTTTACGTATGTATCTTTAGAATAATTAATCCTATGTATATGCATTTTTTTTTTAGTACGAAATTTGTCAATAATTTAATATTATACTTTCAGATTGATTTAGTGCTCAAATCAGATGGAGGCGATCTAACAGACTTTACAACGAATGGTGAATGGTATTTGTTAGGTAAATATTTATGAAATCAATATTAATACATTTATTTTCAAATAAATATCTATATTTTCTCTCGTTTAATATAATAATAATATTTAATAATGACACTTGGTGACTTTAAAAAAAAAAAATTTAAATCTATTCATATATTTATACATAAACAAAGAGGTGAATTAGTCTAAAGTATTATAAACCGGCAAAAACCGACTAACGTCATATCATTAAAGTATTCTCAAAATTGAATATAAGATTCTTATTAAAATACTGTGTAGGCTTCATTCAACATATTCATAACTATCGTTAGGAATATATTTACTATGATTATTATTAAAAACATATTATATTTATTTTAAATAGTATTAATGTTGTCATCAAAATTTAAAACCAAAAATAAAAAGAAAAAATTATAAAAACCATTGAGTCTTACGTACGTGTCTTTTTTTTGGGAACACTTTAGCGTATATAAATTGTCCAATATCAAGGAATTCAATAAATATAATATGATAATTTACTAAATAAGTTTAACGTTCTTAAATTTATAATTATACAACTGTTAAAATAACACAATCAAATAAAATGCTTTTAGTGAGATTAAAAAATATTGAATTATATTGTAAGGGTATGAATTAATTATTTTTACTCAATAGTTAGCGACATAACAGTAAATTATCGTTTCATTTTAAATAAATATAGTATTTAAAATATATCATAATTTATAATCAATTGAAAATCAATACAACAAACTATATTTGTACATTTTATATCTATAATTTTGAGAGAAGTATAAATTTAATTTTTATTAAAGCTAATATCACTACATGTTTTTGGTAGTCAGCACTATGCAATTGGAAATTTGTATTTATTGTTCTATAGATTTTGTTTGATAATTATTTAAAATTGTCATAAATTGCATACAATATGACATTATTGAATAAAAATAAAATCAATTAAAAGTATAAAAAACGGAATTAACACCATGGAAAAATTAACATTTAAAAATACGGTACGCAATTGTATTATACTAAAAAATATATAAATGTAAAATATGATAACCATTTGATATAGGTGACCAGTTTTAAAATCTGAATATTATCTATTATCTTAAAAGGAAATCAAGCAAATAAATCAATAAAGTAATACTAAATAGTTATAATATGTTTAACTTAAATAAATTTCAGCTGTAATTTTAATAAACTATAATATAAGGTTAGGTTAAAACATGTTAAATTTAAGCACATGATATTAACAAACTTCGAAGTAGTTGTATAATGTTTCTCTTCTAAACAATTGTTTATTAAGTAATAAATAAAAATATTCATAACTTTTTGTCCTTATTAGTGATTTTAAAATTTTACCATAGATACGTAAAACTTTAAGAACTTATAATTTAACAATTAAAAATCGACAACCATAATATTCCTGTAAATATTTACATTTATTATAATGTACTTATTTTAACGCTATCAAAATATTTCACTAATTATTGTAACTGTAAAAATATCTACATAAAGAATTTAATTTCATAGTTTTTTTTTTTTTTTTTTTTTATAACCTAGTAGATTATTAAATTGAATATAATTTTAAATTATAAAAATTTCATATTCAGCTTTAATATTCAAATAATTCTCTATGAATTTAATATTTACAGTATATTAATTAACTGTGCCATATATTATTTTTTAAACAAATTTCTATAGTAAATTACGAGCATTTGAAGCATTTATTAAAGTATACTATTTGTATGTTTAATTGTTTTGTCACACACTTGCAATCAATTCATGTCTCATATAATACTCTCTCAATTCTAAATATTTCGAAAACCACTGTGTAAAAAATATAAATATTCAAACACAACATTTTTCTACATTTCAAAATAGTTTTATAGAATAACTCATTGTTTTGAATAAAATAACATTTTATTTAAACAGAAAAATAACTAAATAAAATTAACTTTTTAAATTTGAGTTATTATTATAATTATTACATTAATACAAACCACAACATGATTGAAACATAATTCAATTATGAAGTTTTTATATTTATTTTTATTCAAGAAAGATGCATCTAATATTTTTTACCAAGTACAATATAAATTTTAAAATAATATTATTTACTCATAATTTGTTTTTTTTATTTTAGTTAACAAGATATATTACGTACAAAAATTAGTTTCGATTATAAATAATTTATCAAGAAACTCGTCTTGTGAATTCGACCAAAATAATAAATTTAAAATTTTTAGAAAAAAAACATAATAGAATACAAACATATAATCGCTTAATATCTTAGAAATTTACACTGGACATTCAATGTGTCTAAATACCGGTATTTAATAGGTTAGGTTCTTATCTTATAATATCCACTTCATTGAACTTTTATTATTTATAAATAATGGTGGTCTTTCGCAAAAACTTTTAAGTCATATATTATTGATAAAGAGGACAATCAGCATTTAATATGTACTATAATTTAATCATTCCAAATAAGGATATTTATAAGATTATTTTTCGATACTAATCTACATTATTAATAAATATTTTAATTTATTTTTTTCTCTCTAGGGAATAACAATTATTATTCAATACGTCATACTACATAGAATATTCTGTATTTACTATTTTACAATGATCATTTAATGTTCAAGATAATTCTGAACAACTTTTAATGATACTTTTTCTTATTAATTTATAAATTATATACTCATATTTTTATTTATTATAATTTAATTAATTATAATTTATAACTTACAATAATTTATTGTTTTATTGAATATTAATTTGTGACGAATTATTTTTCCATAACAAAACTTATGAGAAATATGATATAAAATATATGTATATTAATTTAATAAAATATAAATATCATGTTATTTTTATAATTCGTAATATTTCTTAAAAATTTCATTATTCATTTGATACACTTACAAAACATGTAAAAAATAATTACCAAGTAATTGTTTTTAAATAACCTAAAATTATAGATAGACATATTATAATACATAACAATATTTTCAAATGAAAGAAATAACATAACAATAGTTTATCAATAATGTTAATAAGTATAGTTGAAAGTTAATAAAAGGCTACGCCTATTTGAATTAAATTAATATTATACGGGACTAGAGTTAGTCTATTTTAATCTATGATCTAAATAGTGAGGTAAAGTATTTATTTTTTTATCTCGGTAATGTTTTTTTTTTCAAATATTTCAAAAATGTATATTGTATTAAATTGACAGCTTTTTATAATTTTAAATTTTTGATTATTTTTTTATTTGACTAACATGAAATGAACAAAAGGTATACCTACAAATAGTTATCTTTAATTTAATCAAAAAATAGGTAGAACGTGTAATAAGCATGTGAATACATGTTATGTACAAGAAAACTCTCTTAGTATTATTAAAAAGAACATTTTAAATTTTCAATAACATTGTACTTTTAAAACTATACCACTCTATTCTAAATGTATTGTTTATACTATTAATGTATGTCTATTTCACCTAGTACTTGAGTTATTTTATCACTACATTATAACTAATGCGTGGTTTTTATTACTTATTCTACTTAATTTAGGAACTATTTTAATATTCTCCCAGATATACAGGAAAAATATTATTGTCTAACGACTTTAGTGATTCTTAACTGGGATGAACTGCCACTGCCATGAACCAAATTAGGAGTCCAAAAATGCATGAAAAAATATAAATTTGAAAACATTAAAATATTTTAAAACAATAAAAGTATGTTTATTAGTAACTTATAAATAATAATTATATTAAATAAATGTTTTGTGTTTTTTATTTATCATGAAAAAAATTTGCATTGTGTCGATGTCGACAACTGTGCTATTACATATTTTAATAAGATAAATATGTTTTCTTACGTTTTAAATATAGATTCACTTCATATTTTAAAATTTTCGAAGTATAATTTATTGATTTACAAAGCTAAAGAAACTAAATAAAGTCTTAATAACTATTTTAATGTGTTCTCAGATTTTTTTTAAAAAAATGTCAACAATGTATAGGGTTCCAAGGTTGAGAATCACCCACTAATCTAATAGGATCCTTAATTCCAAACTAAAGTAATATTCATTACTCTATCAAAAAGTATATAAGTAATTGTAATATAAAGGACAAAATTAGTGTTTATGGGTGTTTTTCCTCAAAAATATTTATTTCAAAGAATTCATTCAGACAACATGTAGAAAGTTATAATTCAATTAAATCTTCATTAGATTCGTCAAAATAATTAATAATCAAATTAATTTCCTTTCACTTTTAACGATATAGCAGTTATTCAATTTAACAGGAACAATACTTTCAACCCAAATACTAATAAACGGTCTCATACGTTTTATGTATTGTCTCATAACAAGTTCTTTCAATACTTACCTACCTAATTTATAACATTGATATTTGTTAGCATCCAATATCTAAAATCACTTAAAAAAAAAAAAAAAAATCATGAATACAAATAACTTTAAAAGTATTTAATCATAATTGTTAATGGGAAATTTAATCTTACCCAAAAATTAATATATAGATAAGTGTGATATTATTTTATTAACATTGAATCATGTAATACAAGTTCATTTTTATAAAAAAATTAACTAAAATTTGAAAAAAAAATCGATAGAAATTCAAAAGTTTAATTCTATAACCATTTTGTATTCAATAAAATTATATTATTATTATTATTTTCTTTTGTATTAATAATTGAATGAAATTTATTTTATGAGTAAGTCCTTAGTAGTATAAAATAAATTATAATAAGAAATCATATTATAAAGTTAATGTAAGTATGCATATTGACTAGTTGGTCTACTGACCTTAAGTTAGTATCAGTCCATATTTAATACATATTTTTAAATTTTGTAGCACATTGAGTTCAAAGCTCAGATGATTACTGTCTTACGTCACTAGTTTACAAAACCCAATAAACTGTACGTTACAGGTATGCCTGGAAAAAAGAACGTGATAACTTACGGCTGTTGCCCAGAGCCATATGTGGACATCACGTTTATTATAAAGATCAGACGGAGGACGTTGTATTATTTCTTCAACCTGATCGTGCCATGTGTACTTATCTCGTCGATGGCTCTACTGGGCTTTACACTACCTCCGGACTGTGGTGAAAAGCTTACACTAGGTAAGAACGTGATACCGAAACAGGAAACAAATACAAACATTTTATTACAGCAGATTGAGTATAGTGTGGTTAAAAGTGGTGTGATATGTGTGCGTGTTTTTTTGTGCAATGAAAAGTGAGAAGGAGATGAAAATACAAATAAATGTTAAAAGGTAAAGAAATATGAAATTTGCTATTTGTTCTTCACCGGTGCCTGAATAAACACAGACAATGGACACAAGGATTACCGGACTACGTTAACAATAATTCATATAATCCACAGCAACATAATGAGGACGTCATATCAGAAAGTACTGCCACGAATATCTAATGGATTTATTTTTCTGATAGTCATTAGATACGGAAATGTGGTACTTTTTACTTATAGTAACAATCAAATGGTTTAATGCAAATGTAATGATTTATATTCGCGTGTAAACGGTAATTCTAGTAAATTCTTCGATGTATAGGCAACAATTAATATAATTGTTTAAGTTAGCGCATTGTTTATTTACCAACAACTACAATCATTACCGCCATCTGACTACAATAGCTTATGTTGTAGAATTCATTGACGTTTGGAAAGACTAAATAGAATGGGTTTCTATAGGTTTGGTTTAAAATACAGTATATATGTACGTCTACATAAATACTCGTAAATACATACATTTTAATAATTTCCTGTTTATCTGATGTTATGCAATATAATTAAAAAATCTGTTTTCTAATAAAAACAATGTTTTAATTTCAAGTTTATTTTATTTCAAAAATAATGAAATATATTCCAAAATTATAAGAAGTTTATCATACATTCTATTTGATGTTTTTTATAATATTTTTGTTTAAAAATTTAAGTACAATGTGAAATTGATTATATAGAACACTTACTACACAACAAGGAAAATAAATTAGGAAAAATAATCAAAATGTTAATTTCAGAAATAACTATACTACTGTCACTAACAGTATTTCTGAATCTAGTCGCCGAGTCAATGCCAACAACGTCCGAAGCGGTTCCCCTTATAGGTAGGACTAAGAAAAAATATCAACTTGCATGATGACATGTGTCATTGTCATTTGATACTTGGAGGAACCACTTCGTTGGACAAGCAATACAATACCTATATTCTATAATACTGTTATATTATAAAATGCAATTATTAATTTTAGTCTGAAAACCATTTTATCAAATTTTAAATAAAACATTGTTTTATCAAAAAAATGTTCCCGAATGTATTTTTCTAGGTCATAAAAATAAATTGGTTGTTACAGGAGTGACCATCTTGCTATCACTGACAGTGTTCCTGAATTTGGTGGCGGAAACGCTTCCACAAGTCTCCGACGCGATACCCTTGCTAGGTACCATAAAATACCCTATTCCTCCCAAATAAAAAAAAATCTTGTGACAGTTAGTGATGTTTACAATTTCATTTTATCTATCTATTTATATTTTAAATAGAATTTATATTGTTTACCATTTGTATGAAAAATAACAAGAAATCGTACAAAAACATATTGAAATAAATAGTTGAAGATTCAAATTTTTAAGTTTCTTAAGAAATTATTATTTTCATTAAAATCAAAGATTAATATGCATTATTAAAAGATATTTTTACAAAAGTTAGCATATAAAGTAATATTTTCTGTCTTATTTTGTTTAAAATAACTTTTCTAACAAACATTTTTTTACGTTTATTTAAAAAAATTCATGCGTTAACTTTAAAAAAATTAAATTAATTATGTTATTACTCATAACTATAAATTAATTCTTTGATTTTTACAATAACTTAATAGCTATATTATAATACTCTCATTTTAAAATTAATAAGTAAACTACATCATAAAAAAATGTAATTCTTCTTTTAATTGATTTTGTACGATTTTTATTTTATAAAAATGAAACACCAGAGGTCGAGCCGTATACTTGGAAAAGCTTATAAATCTACCTACTCGTTTCACAACAATAAATAATAAATAGTTCAATAATAAAATACTTTAATACGGCTTTGCCTTGGTGTACTTACTATACTCCATTTGATTCTTTCGCTCGAGTGCTTTTTCTCACTTCACTTTTCTCTCTTTTGTTATTGTTTTTTAGACATTTTTTACATATTTATTTTTGTTTTGTTCTTTGAACAACAATAATTGCGTGTCTTTTTGCATATTAATATCAATGTGAATTTGCAGTTTGTGATTGTATTTGTTTGCCTTTTCTGATCCATTAAAAAAAATAGGCATAAAATTAATAAAATAATACAGCTTGTGATATCAGATAAGACGTCAGCTATTTTATTAAAAAAAAAAAAAAAAAACAGTTTATAATTTATTAAAACAAGTATAACTATTTTTACAGCAAATAAAAAAAATTACCATCTCCGAGAGTTGATAAAAATAAATAATACAATAGGAATAAGTATACAAGAATTTCAAACAAATTTCATTAATATCATAATACTTGAAGAAATTAAATATTATGTTCAACAAAACAAAATAATGGTATATTTATGCGGTTAGTTTTAAATAAAAATTGAATACTTATAAATTAAAAACTAAAAATATTTATTGGTGTTATGAAAAACATATTAATTCGACAAGAAACATGAATTAATTTTAATAAAATTATTATTATTCTCATTCAATACTTTTACCTCGTGGTTAAAATAAAATAAAACGTGATAAATTTAAATATAGATTAAGGAATGCCATAGAATTAATAATAATAATATGTACTCACATCTTTAGTAACCTAGTAAATTATTATGGTTCCAAAAACCGGTTACTTTTAACGTTATTTGTGTTACAGGTGTGGCAATACTGCTTTCACAAGTAGTTTATCTATTGCGGTTGGCAGAAGTGTTGCCAGAATCCTCTGACGCTGTACCCTTGTTAGGTTAGAGTTTACCATATTGACAGACACATTTCTTTTAACAACACGCTCATTTTTCTTAATCCTCTGTGTTCTAACAGTACTCTTATGTTTTTGGTTTTTAACTTAATCACTTATTTTGCATCGGGTGTGACAAGTATTCCTGTTTATAATAACTATTTTTTCAATAAACTTAGTAACAATAATTTACGAGGAAGAATAAAACTAATTTTTATACATTATTTATTTTACTGAAAAGTATCTAAAGAATTAATTATAAATCTAACATTTATTTGAAAAAAAAAAAACAGTTTTTATTAAATATAAATAACTTAAACTAACTTGTAAGTCAACTTTTAAAGTCTCTAAAGATATCTCTCTCACTCTCTCTCTTTCTATGATTACATAAATATCTAAACAAATACAATAGGTATTAAATATAAATAATTTAGGTGTAATACCAAAAAAAAAACTTATAAAAATATGATCAATAATTTGTAAAAACTTCGAGATAGGAATAAGTGTCCAAATTAAAATTATGTTGTAAAATAACTAATAAGACAAGCAGTTGTTCTCAAACCTGAAGTATTAAGCGTTAATCTTTTCAATTATTATATTTCCCGTTTGTCAATCAAACATCTCTTAATTTCTAAAACTGACAATATTTTAGGTACATTTCTATCTATGTCAATTATTCAATAAATTATAATAAAGCCTATACAATATTAAACATTTGGAGTAATTGAACTCCTCAAAAATATATTAGATATGTAAATAATAATAAAAAAAAAAATAGTAATATATCAATTAATTTTTAGTTCTTTTACATAAAATTTAAAACCATAGTATCACTAAAAACAACTATGAATTCACAATTTATCAGAATACATCACATTTTGCTTACAATATTTTTACCAATTTACTTAATATTTTAAAACAGATATAAATTTTGAAATTTAAAATCATTATTGTTGCTATAGAATAATAATGAAGAATAATTAATTTTTTTATTTTTAGTACTATTAATTACACTAGTTTTATTATTTTTTAACATAATTACTTAGTGAACATTTGTATTTTCCACTATATGATTTGATTTTTTAATGGTTTAATATTGACTATTTTTTCAAATTATCTTTACATTTATTGTCAACTTAATATTTTTACAATTTTAGAGTAGTTTTTTTTTACGTGCATTAATACTGAGTAACCCATAAAATGTGTTAGATAGTACATAAGAAATTTAAAAATAAGATTAAAATAGCATATAATTATCAATTACTTAATTATCGTACATATTGGATTCAGATTAAAGTTTTAAAATCTAACCATAAATTTAAAATTATATACTTTACAAATTTTATTTTTTTTTACACCATGCAAGATTATACATACATATATCGTTCGCATTTTTTTTAAATTTCAAAAAAGGAATATTCAAATAAATGAGATAAATCTAGATACTTTCACCATATTTAATTTTATGACTATAATTTTTTAAATAACATTTATTCTAAATATATTCTTATTAGCTGATAATATAATAAAAACATAAAATATATTTAATGAAAACAATATTCAATATTTCTAATTTAAATGCTTGGATAACAACATTTGTTCTATGTGATTGATCTGTAAAAAAAAAAAAAACTATGTATTTAGTTAAATATTTACAAAAGGATCTAAAACCAACAAAAAAAAAAAAAACAATTTATTTATTCTATTTTATTCAAACTATGATTATTACTATGATTTTTTTAAATATCTATGGATAATCATAAAAAAAAAAAAAAATATTAATTTAAAAAAAATATAATATGTTATATTTTAACAATATATCTAATGTATTAAAAATATAATTCATATAACTATTAATAATGGTAAAAATTATAATGAAATAAATTATAAACACTGTTAGGTATATCAAAACTTTGTCACACCCTATTTCAGTCAGTTATTAAACATATACGTTATATATATTATTATTTTATACCATATATTATACACTCTTGTATTAAACTTTCAGTCAGCTTCTATCATAAAATATATATTTTTTTTCACTGTCTTCTCTGATTTTTTGCTATTTTTACTGCTAAAAATTTGTACATTTTTTGCATGCCAATAAAAATAAGTATAATACATAGATCGCAAGATACATATAAGATATATATTTTAATTTAAACTTGAAATTTGCTCGACCATCTTAAACATTTGCTATACATTAATTTATCAATATTTACTATTATACTTTGTTATAATATAATATGTTAATATTTCAGTGTTAATATATGCTTGGGTTAAAATAAATGGATTTTTTCTTTACTTTTTAGGAAGTATTAAAAATTCAAAAGGATTTATTAATCTTGGAAATGCCACATAACATATTTTATAGGTGACCCGTAATTATTATTTTTTTTATTATTATTTATTATTAAATATGTTTCTCTTGTGGTTTTAACATTTGATTCTGAACGTTTTATATGGAACTCATCTAAAAGCGTTTTTATATGTAAATAAATATATAACATATTTTAGAAGATATATTACATAATTCATACGGAAGTTGGATTTTTCTTTCTGAAAAAGTGAGCATCATAAAAAATTAAATAAAACATCAAATATAGTTTTATATTACATAATTTTATCTACCTTCAATAAAATTGTTATTTAATATTTCTAAACCAATATTATCAAATAATATATGTATTCTTTTTTTTTAAAAAATTTAAAAATATGTTACCTACCAACTCATTAGTTTTTTTAAATTTAATTTAAATAAAAGTATAATAATTTTTGTTTTTTTGATAAAGTTTTTTATAAATCATTCATGAGAAATAAGTTAAAACAGTGATTGTAATAGTAATATCCAAAAAAAATTTTTTTTGGATATTACTATTATAATCACTGTTTTAAATTATTATATTTAAAGAATATTTTAAATTTAGGCATATTGCTAATCCAAAAGTATGTTATTGTGAAATTAATTAATAATGCAGTAAAATGTTTAAGACATTTGAGTAGTTGAGTGAAAATTATTAATTATAATCTTATCAGTTATCATCACTGATATTACTAGAAAAATAAATCAATTATTTTAATTATTTTATATTTTTTATAAATTTAATTATATGTATATTGTATATATACACACACATAAATACATAAATATTAAGAATACTACATTCTAACACGTTCTAATCTAACACATTAAAATGTTCTGTACAAAAGTTTATTTGACATTTGTAATACATATATATTACACACGTGGATACTATGTAGTTGCAGTTAATTTTACCACTAAATAAATCCGTAGAGACATTATGTTTTTAGTACGGAATTTTACATAGTTTACTAAGTATAACAACTCACATTTAATTTAAATTCACAATTACAAAAAATAATTATTTTTTTAAATAGAAACCCATTAAAATATAAAATATACAAATTAAAACAATAATAAAAATATATTTTGAGAACAAAAATATTAATTTAA